AATAAAAAAATAATTTTTAACGATACAATAGTCTTCGTTAGGCTTAAAATCGACGAAAATTCAACGCGAAGCGACACGCAACGGAGAAAAATGTCAAGATGGAATAAATTAATATATTTTTTCGTGCATAATCGGTTATCCGAAACATCGATCTTTACAACAACCCCAGTCTCCAATTGATTCTGATAATCGACGCTCTACTGTATATTAATTAAAATGTTATAGAATTAATTATAATATATATATATATATTATATATTAAATTAATATATATTATATATCTATATATATATATGGACATGTATGTCCCTATATTTCACTTTTCCGCCAAAACTACACATCGCACATGAATGGCGTTTGTATGTGGTAGTAGCCCCAGGTCTCCATTCGTGCACTATGGTGGTTGCGTCTCGATAGCTATAAGGGTGCGGGAGATATGGGCTTGAAAGTGGTTGAAAGTGGCTTTGTATTTCGAATGTTTTGTTCGAATTTGTTCAAATTAAATTCAAACAAATTCGAATATTGGTTCGATTATAGAACGATTGTAAAGTTTCAGAAACGTTGAAAATAGTTTGTTTGACTGGACGTGAACAGGAGACGTCCAGAAATAAAATCGGGAGCAGGTCTCTAATTTGTCTGGAAACGGAGGACCTAATTCTTGCATTCTGTGAAAACGGGTAAGATTGGCTATAATGTGATTATCTTAATTAATCTTCACTATCGTTACTTTTTAAAAACCCAGCGAAGCGGGTCCTTGCAGCTAGTCTATTATAAAGTCGTAAGACAAAGATGTATGCTATAATACATAATTATTAACTTAAAATCGTGTACTTGCAGTTAGTCAAGAGAATCTTAAGGTGTTACATCGTTTTTATTTATAAAGAACTATTGTAGCAGGAAACAATAAATAATAAACAATAATTAAGTCAAAATCCAATCATTTGTTATTTGTTTCGCTTAATAATTTCATGAGAAGATAGATGTATATAGAATTTTAAACACTATTTATCACGTTTAACAGCTGAGATGTTTTCTAAATTCTGTGATTATACAGTAATTATTTTAGTTGCACGACTGAATAAAGCTTATGATTGTTGACACGACTGAAATGCCCATAATGTAATCTTTATAATCGTTGTTGTAACTTGTGTAGATAGAATTGTCTTTTATGTATTTTTTTATTGTCTCAAATAATATTAAATTTATCAATAAAAAAATTAATATTACCTGACTTTCCGCCATATTTCAGTAAGAGGATCAAAGTTTAAAAGATCTGCTTTTTAATCTAAATATATAGATAATTACATTGACGAAATGAATAAATAGATGTTACAAATTTAATTAATAGAGTTTATATTATATGAAAAAGATTTTATTTTTTAGATCGAAGAAACTTTTACTTACTACTAAACTTTTTAAAATTAAATTAATATTTCAATTTTGTTTTCTTGAAACCACTTAAAACTTATGAATTAATTTGTTATTTTCAAGTACTTAAAACAAATAGAAGTAAATTAAATGATAGGGTAGTCTAGTGCCTAATTGTGTCGTTCAAGAATACATACATAAAAATAACTGCTAAATTTATATATACAGGATGCATAGGAAAGTCCTTTAACCGGAAATTCTTGGAAACGAAGAGAACTACAGCTATGCAATAAATTGTGTGTTTATTTCTTTATTTTATACCTATGGCTATTTTTTTCAAACGTTTACACAAAATGGCGTGCTTCGTTTTCGAACATTTTTTGGTGTACAGGCGACAATTTATTTTATCCGTGTGAACCACATGTCGTTTCGTACTAAATAACTAATGCTCTGAAACTTTCTAATGGGAAAGATTGCTCTATTTGTTTTCGTTTTCGATTTTCACTGTCTATTTTTCAAATTTCACCACTAAGGTCGTTGCTGTCGTCTGCATTAAATCGGGCATAGTCGCTTTACTATACAGCTACCTCACTTGTATAGCTGTAGCTTTCTCCGTTCGCAAGAATTTTCCGGTTAAAGACTTTCTTTTGCACCCTGTATTATTGTGATGAATTGATGATAATAATAAGTCCAGAGTACAAACGATTAGGAGTTTTAAGTCGAAATTTGGTACATGGTTAAAGTACGTGACGAGAACGTACACAAAAAAAGAATTTTTGTAAATTCCCTTCGCTGGGGCAAGGAAGAAAGGGTTAAGGATTACCCTGAAGAATTTGGCTTAATTGATGTTTTTTTACTGTGCTATTTTAGATGCGGAATTTTGTAGGAAATTGAAATCGAAAATAATTATAGACACGTCTAAAATTGTGATTAATTTCTCTTTCTTAAAAAATACAGTAGAGCGTCGATTATCCAAATCAATTGGGGATTGGGGATGTTCGGGAAAAAAATCGATATTTCGGATAACCGATTATATACGAAAATATATATTAATTTATTCCATGTTAAAAATTTTTTTGGTTGCTTGTCGCTTCGCGTAACATTTTCGTCGATGTTAAGCCTAACGAAGACTATTAAAGCGTTAAAAATTATTTTTTTATTTTGTGCGAACAAAATAAATCTATTGAAAAATATAAAAACAATAAAAAATTATACTTCAGAAGTTAATTTAGTAGAGGAGAAGGTGGTATTATGGAACACTGCGGGTATTATGGAACCACCCCATTTCGAACTGATAATAAAGGCGAACTGTAGCGGATTGTGGCTGAGCTGTACTAGGCAGACATCCATAGCAAGGGGAAAACCCGTTTTACTTCAGTTAAACGGTTGTCCGTATTTAATCAGCAAATTTGTTTTTTTCAAAATTCACAAGTTTTGAATGCTAAGTGAATTTAATTATTTTTAAAATATAAATCGCGTAGTTGTAGGTTCACTGGTGCATGTATTCCGTTCCAGAGACTTAGGGGTACATATTAATCTGTGTGATGTTCACGTTTTTTAAATTTTGGTCTTGACAGACATAAGTTAATTCGAGATGGCGATGCGTGAAATACGGACCCCATTGGTGCTTTTACAGTAATATGGAACTCAACTCCTCCGAACTTTCTATTTGCAAGCAGACATTCCTCCAGAGCAATTTGTGAAAAAGACACTAGGTAGAAAGCCAATTCTTCCTGAGAATATCGAAAAAGAGCTGCTGGAATATATATTGTTGATGGAGGTCATATTTTTCTATTATAAAAGCATTTTTGCGATAAAATACATTGGAGTAAATAATTTTGTAATTATTTAACATTTTTTGTCCTTTCCTATTTGTTTTTGGCTACATTAAAGCATTTTTTTGAAAATATAAGTAAGGTTCCATATTACCACCCGATTTTCTCTAAGCCTACTTTCGGACTTTTTGTACAAAAGCCTTCAAAAACCATACTTATAATTACACCAGCGAAAAATCCAATTAGGAACATTTAGTTTACTAGTTACCAGTACTTTTCGCACAAAAAATGTGGGTGTAGTTATGATACCTCGTTTACAATTCACTAAAATGTAATTGGTGTTCCATAATACCACCTTCTCCTCTATCAAAACCGTAAAATATTTGAGTAGCTCAAGACATAGCCAAAGATTGCAGCGCCACAGCACTAGCGAAAGTTTAAATTTGTCGACTGGAATTCTTTCCGATAATTGACTATCGGGTAATCGACGCTCTACTGTTAAACAATCTAAAATTCATAAATTCCCTATTAATTTATTAATTTCTTAACTATTAATTATACGATAAAATATAATAAAACCTAAAAATTCGTAATTATCTGATGGTTTTAATTGGGGCCACTACGAACGATGAAATAATATATGAATTTAGGAAAGGAACAGCTAATAATATCATAAATGCTACTTTTATTCATACAAATTTAATAATAATTGTGCTACAATCTCTGCATGGGTGTTCAGCAGTCCTAAGATATCTGTATAAAGCTATACGGCTAAGTAACTAAGATGACAGCCTATCGCTTCAGGATCCGGAATGGATTCCTAAAGAATGGAATAAACCCAAGGATTTTTCGAAGTGGGCTTTGTATACGTCGGTCCCCATTCGGCCGCCTCATTGTGGGCCTAGCCGAACCCAAAATGGTCGATATGAATAGCTTTTTTAGTGATAGGAAAGCTTATAAAAAAGTCCTAAAGTTCTGTAGAATAGAATGACATGCGGTTTGTATAACTTGCAGTAGAAAATTCGAAATAGTTCGTTCACAAATACTTATTTCGGTTACAAATTAAAATACAATATCAGATATTAAGAAATTATTTTTTCTTATTAATGATTAGTGTTAACAACTTATGTTGTAGAAATTATAATTAAAACATTTTAATTACCTCCAATCTTCGTCCTTTTTTGTTTTGGCTGGACTCCACTAATTCACAATTACAAAAAAACAATATTTTATATTCTCGCTGCAGTCAGTGATAAAAGAGGACAGAAAAACCATCAAACAGAAAACGGAACTAAAACTATCCACCCCGAAACCGTTAACGTTGTTATCTTTGCTGATCACGTCGTGCAAGTCTTATGATCGTAACACCTATGACTAAAAAGTAATATGTATTACGAAGTCACCTCTGTTATCTAAAGATAAGAGAAATGACTACGTAACACGTATTACTTTTTTAATTTTTTACTTTAATTAATAATTTTATTTAATGCCAAACATTTCAGGAATGTTTGTTTATATGGAGAATTGATGCTATTAAATTTTTATAGTTGAAGGTCGAGGATGTGGAGAGATAAAAAAGGACACGTAACATATCTACAGTAGTAACGAAATAAATAAAGAATTTACTTGTTATTAGCATTTACACTGTTTAATAAAACTCGTTTCTACTTCTAATTTAAGTTTTTTGCCACTTTATGATAGTTAATAATATAAAAAAGTTTTTATATAAAATTTCCTAACAGATGATGCGCATACAATTTTAAATGTTTTTACCAGGAAAGTTAAGCAACTCGTTGAGGAATTTTTGAAATTAGCTGTTAGTCTTATTTGAAACAGTTAAAAATTAACTATATTTTATTAAATAATTGATTAATTTATATTGACAATAATTAATCTATACAATATCGTTATCTGTTTTATATTATTTCACAATTGTAACGCAATAATTTTAGTTAAGCAATACTTAAGGAAAATAAAAAAAAGTGTTCGTTTTTAAAAATTTATAATTATTTATTGATTAGAAATTATAAATTTTATAACACTTCTTACTATTTATTGTAATATTTAAAACTGATTATTAAGATACAGCATTTAACTTGACAGGGTATAAGCTCGGATAAAAAACAACGAACTATAAGGTGAAAGGCTCACCTGTGGCCGAGCGGTTTCGTTCCCCGAACACTATGCGATTGTTCCTGCCTCGCCAGGACGGGCTAGACACGTGTTGTTTTTCGGTTTTTCTGCACGTCTGTAATGCCTGAATAAAAGCCAATTATTCTTAGAAAGATTTCCCGAAAGTCATCCTCCCTAGTCAGATCATCCAAGTGTTGCGTTGCCGTAACTAAACAAAAACCAGGTAAAATAATAACAATTGTTAAAATACAGTTTATTATACGAAATTTTCAGGTTATACTTCATAATTCTACCTTGAATTCTTTATGCCTACGTTTAAAACTTTACAATAGTACATTAAGCATTGAACATATTTACTTATAAATTGTTCTTCTATTTCATTTATCATCAGATCATAGCTTGATATTATCTTTTAGACAAGTTGCTCTTACGAATCGTTGCTTCCTTCAACGTAGTATCGCCCCTTTCACTACAAAATTCCGATGCCGAGGGCCAAGACTTACGCCAAATTCGTACTGCATTGAATAGACTAGTTACTAGTATTTGTTTAATTATTGTACGATATAACGAATAAAATATCTAATTTTTCTTAATATAATGTTCTACTATATCAGCCAGTAAATTGTTTTTCGCTCTCTAATATAGGGGAGATCGGGGCAAGATCGGCATGTTAAGCTTTACTTAAATTTTGTGTAATAAATACTGCTGTAAACTGAAAAAAAAGCTTTGCATATTGTCTATTGGAATGTTACCTTACTATAGAACTGGTTAAAATCAGTTTGGAAATAAAAATAATTAAAATAATTACAACTTTACAAGAAGAGAGAAATTGACGAAGTTGCCCCGGGTATAGGGGCAAGATCGGCAACTTCTCTCTTTTTGTAAAGTTGTAATTATTTTAATTATTTTTATTAAAGTTGCCCCTGGTATAGGGGCAACAGTAATGGGGCAAGATAGGCACGTATATAAAATTATGTTATTAACAATGTATAAGTTGGAATTCACTATTAAAACAAAGAAATACAAATCCAACACCCATTTAATATTATTACAACGAAATGCAAGTTCAAAGACATATATACATGAATAACAAATGCAAACATGTTTTCATTTATCATCTGTTTGATTTTTATCCTTTGCTTCTAATGTGGCTTTATGTTGCCGATCTTACCCCGCTAGTCATGATTTCGAAACATTAAGTACAACCCTGAGAACAGAATGCCAAGCCACGATCTGGCCACGTGAATAAGTTGAAGTTACATCCTTCTAACAGGAAAAGTAACTTTCGTTATCATGGAATTATAACAAAACCTGCCAATTCAATATAAATGGAAAAAAAATATTATATGGAATTGAACGAAAATGAAAATTTGCTTGATAATTCAACTACGCTTGTTGGAGAACAATAAAAACACTACACTCAACAAGCCACTAATAAAACTCAACTGCCTAACCTATAACCAAAGTCTCCTTTTAATTTGTTTTTTAAAAAAAGCGCTTGACAAACTTGCCCCGCTTGCCGAAGTTGCCCCGATCTCCCCTATAAATTGTTACTATTCGCCTCCTCAATATGGAAAAACGCCAACATGGGGGCATATATCGCCCCCGTTAAGAAACACTGTTTTAGACGCAAATATTGTTTAGTAGAAACCAAGCATTTGACTTCTCCGATGAAATTATCCTTACTAAGAAGAGCAACAAGATTTTTATTTCTCGTTGAAGATCTTTTGGAATTACTGCAAGATTCTCGAGAAACGTAGCTTCAATATAATTGTCCTCATTTCTAGACAGGTAAAATCAAAACATACTTTGGCATTTGAACAGAATAATTGTTTGTTGGTTATATTTTTAATTTCATTAACACATTCAAACCAAATTAGAAGATAACAAACAGTCTCTCGAATAGCGTACAAAAATTCATTTAGTAATTTTTCATCTCCACAAAGACTACTTAAAAAGATTATAAATAGAAAATCGTTACGATCATTTCGAGGGAGTTGTATTAAATGGTAATAAGAAAGACCGATAATAAAGTGGAGAAAGATTCCAAGTATAAAATCGAAACAAGTGATTTTATCTACCTCAAAATACATTGAAATAATATCTAGTCCTAATATAAATTGATAGTCTTTTTCTTTTAGAAACTGTTTGTTTAACTGTTTTTCTGGTAATGTTTGGAATTTGTAAAACCCGTACATAGATCTAGATATATCTTTTTTATTCGGTGTAGATAATTTCTCCATATATATGTTTTCCAATGTAACTAGTAAGTCCTCTTCATACAAAAACTTTCCTTTCTTCAAACTATGTTTTTCTCTTATGATAAAAAGTTATATGGGAAAAATAAGACAAAAGATTTGAATGAACAAATCTGTTATTGTTTGTATTTTGTAAAAGTATTTCGTTTGTGGTAGACAGCATAATATATGCAACATTAATGACATTCAGCTAAGGAACAGTGAAAATCCCTGAATTCTATCAAGTTTAAAAGTTTATCTCGCTTGCCGTTATCATCATTAATAATCAATTTAATATACTTTTCTTTCTGTTGTGAGAATCCTTGAAAAATGAATCTCATATTTACGTATTTTCTTATATTTTCGGCAGCGCGAGGACGGCAAGTAACACGAATTGTCATTTCTTTAGAAATACGGAATGAATCTTTTTCAATAAAATGTATAATTGAATCTTTAACATGTGTTTCGTCAAATCCATCCAGAATGATTAACAAATTAAATTCACTTTTTCTTAACGTCTTTTTAGAACTAGAATCGGTATTTTCACAGATACATTGGAGAATCTCATCTGTTATACTTTTCTTCTCTAATTCTCGCAAAATAAGGACGACAGTAAAATCATAATGTCCTAAGTATTCGGTACGGGATGTATCGATACCCCAATCATAAGCTATTTTTTTACAAAAGGTAGTTTTGCCATAACCGGGATCACCAGTGACTAACATTACAACATGTTCATCGATTGATTTTGGAAAAATCTCTGTAAAATGAATAGTTTTTCCTGCCTTTTCCCCTAATAAATCAGCTTTTTGAACTGTAAGTTGGACAAAGTAGTCTTTTAAGGGAGAGTCTTTACTTCTTTCACTCCATAAAGATTTTAAGTAAGCATTTTTAGTCTTTTAACAATTCATTAAAGACTCTCTCTGTATCTGAAAATATTATGAAAAATATTATACATATAAATATAATATTTCTATAGTTTTTATTATACTTAAAAAATTAAAAATTATTAATTTAAACACTGCTTGTGTAAATTCAAAATATATCCAAAAATTCATTACTTTATAGCAAGTGTAAAGTATTTTAAAAATAGGAACTAAACTTTCAACCAGAATAATAAATAATATGGATTAGTTGTTGTTCCTAGGCTGATTGACATTACTGTGGAACAAATGTTCTTATGTAGGATGTATTTATGATTGGTCATTAAGCTACAATAGGGGTATTTTCGCTTGAAGACTTAAAAAAATTACTTAAACAAATAAATTTAATTAATAAAATATGAAGATATTGCTATCTACTAGACAAACCATACTCTTAATTCTAACTTATATATTTGTGCTTTAACAATAAAAGTCAGTAGATAAATATACCATGTCTTATATAAAGACCTTTTCTAAACAAAAATTACTGGCAAATATTATTATTAATTCACTTCACATTCTTTATTTTAAAAAAGATACTTCAGCTTATATTCTTTGCAATTACCTGAATCATTTTTATCAGTTGAACTGGATGGTTGTTGTATATTAATAACATTTCCTACATGGACGGTTGAGTCTTTTATATTAATACGTAATAATAGTGATAAAATATATTATAAAATAATGTTTTTATCTTCTTGTAGAGATTTATTGTATATTTTAAAAAATAATTACTGTCTGCTATTTTTTCTGTAGCTGCATTTAAGGCCAAACTTTCCAATTCCTGTAATGTTAAAATAATTAAAATATTATAGAATTAATTTTAATATTTATTATAAGGTCATACGACAAATATGTATGCTGTATAACAAAATAATTAACATAAAATCGTGTACTTGCAGTTAGTCAAGAGGAACTTAAGGTGTTACATCGTTTTTATTAATAAAGAACTATTATAACATGGAACAATAAATAATAAACAATAAATAAGTCAAAATCCAATCATTTGTTATTTGTTTTCCTTTATAATTTGAGGATAAAATAGACATATAAGGAATATTGAACATTATTTATTAGGTTTAACAATTGAGATGTTTGCTAAATTCTGTGATTATACAGTAATT